TGATCATTATTCGCCCGCAGCAGATGCAGGTGTTCTTACTGACGTCTTGCACGTCATGAATGAAGGCCACACACGGTTTAATCCAAAGCATTAACTCAAGATTTATTGAAAGATTTGGGAAACAAATAAAATGGCAGATGTCTTCTCTGAATCATTTTGCCTAATTTTTCATAATTTATTATTACTCAGAATCATTCAGGCAAGAGTTTCACTGTCCAGTCATTAACATGTCCATTAATTAATGTTTTTCCTTCAGTTGCACTACAAAAAACAACAACACATACAGTAGTGTGAACCTGCTCGTTCAGTTGATCTAGTCGAATTGCGCTGATGAGGTATTGTGCACGTTGCAGTCCGTCTGGAAGGAGTAACCTGAAAACTCCATCGTCTCGCCTGAAATCAGAGGCGTTCATGGACTTTAATAGCAAATCTCTCACATTAGCATGCGTCTAATAAGGACAGAATGATCAAATGGTTTGTTTAGTAGGACACTTTCTTATAACATCATTTTGTTCTCCAGTGTTTTACTGGATAAGAGCTGTAGAATTGTTTTTCTTACACAGGCATCCCATCCACATTGAGTTGGGTCTCCAGCCTCTGTCGCTCTCGTACGAGGGACTCCAGTGCTCCAGGTTCTTCAGATGATCCACGATCTGCAGAACGAACGCACACGGTTTTAGATCCAACACTAACCAGAAAAGAGCAGTTCAAAACAAACTCTGGTGTTGGCTTGGCAAAGCATTAGCTAGAGCTGAGATGAGTTCACGAAAGCCATGTCTTGTGGTGTTTAAAGGGATCGTTCACCCAAAAATGGAAACGCTGTTTCTTACCCTCAAGTCGTTCCAAACCTGAATGAGTTTCTCTCTTCTGCTGAACACACAAGAGGATGTTTTGAAGAATGTACATTGAGTGAGTAAATGATGACAGAATTTTCATTTTCGGGTGAACTAAAGTGTTTTGAGTGGTTGATGGATACAGATCCATATCAACCACGACCTGTTTTTTATTTATGCATTTTAATCCTAAAACCCAGGTAAGTTTACTCTGAGTAAATGGATAAGCTCAACTTTCGGTACCAAAAACTGAGGTAAGATTCAGGGTAAGCAACTATTTTCTGAACATAACCTGCTCCAGAGCCGTTCTAATGTCCTGTGGAACCACTCGACTTCTGCTGAGCTTCATGGCCTTGGCATCTCCAGAACAATGTCTTGATAAACTTAGTAATTAATTTGACCATAAATGATTGCTGAGACTTGTTTTTAAGTCGGAGCAGCTTCGGGCATCAGATGCTCCACCGTGTTTATTCATCAGACCGCCGGTCCTGCTGAAGATGCTTTGATTGGTCTTTCCAGCTTCATGCAAGTTAAGTAAAGACTTAACTAAAAGTATTTACTTAGGCTATTAAGTAAAGACAAACCACATACTGATCTCAGGACGCCCAACAGATTGGTGACTCTTTTGGCCGTCCTGAGATCAGTGTGTGGTTTGTCAAGCCAACGTAGCCATGTCCATCAGAGATCTTACCTTCAGCACTGCTTCAGTTTGCTCGTGCTCGTCTGTTCTGTTCAGCTGCAGTCCTGCAGAGGTCATGAGTTAGTCATTTTTAAACCTCTACTAATCCGAACTATTGTGCACAGACTAGCACAAGTACCCTGTGAGCAGTAGAGGGCTGGTCTCTCCTCCTCGAGATCATCTTTTCTCAGCACTTCAGTCGCGGCACTGCCTCGATCATCTGTGAACTTCCAGAAGGCCTCTGTATGCATGCGGGAAAGATGTGACACATCCATGATGACGTGGAAGGACGTTTGTATTATAGGTGGTGACCTGTCATTGGGTGGTACCTGTAAATCTCTCCAGTGGTATACTCCTTTGCGTTTGTGGCGGTGATGCTGCTTTACTGTCGGTCTCCAAACACCTTAAAGCTGAAGAGAAACATGCCATCACAAACTCGTTACTACGTCACGTTCAGGAACATCTAGACATATGAAATAATATTCCACAAGGTTTATATGTGCAAATACCTTTGCGTCTTTTCACGGTTTTGCTGTGTGGAAGGAGAATATAAACTCTGAAAGCGTTGTGGCCTTTCTTGATGCTTTTGTCTTGGAGCTCTTTGACGTCCATCAGGGAATTGAGCGCACATCGGAAGTTCGCTTTCCATGTCTTGGGATCGGGTTTGTCTACGCTGGGTTTGTATCGCCCTGAAATCCACGAGAGGAGTTTGCATGATCATCCAGCACCTGTTTTCAGTGCATTTCAGTTGTGTTCCTGGCCAAGCTGATCATTGATTTGACTTCTCCTTTAAACATGTTTGGTACAATTACAAGTGATATAGCGTTAATATTAAACGAGCTGTTCTGGTGCTTCATCTGGATGTTTCAAAGAATTTGGGCAAAATCTCAGTGTTGGACGTCTGAGACCAATGACCAGAGAAATTAAGTTCATGCACATGCCACAATTCAAAATGTAAAAGTGTCGTTGCATTAAATATTAGAATATCAAAACAAGCCACATTTATTTTAAATAAATGCAGCACGCTTTTCAGTTAGCTTTTCAAAATAAGACAAAAGGTCTTCAACTCTTTCTGTTTGTCAAACTCTGTGGAGCGTGTTGAAAGTTAGTGTGATTCTCTTCACCTCGAGATCACACAGCTCAAAAGAAATCTTTCTGAAGGTCTGGGGAAGGCATCATATAACTGCCACACGGTTGGATACTTTGTATCTAATGAAAAGACATTTTAAATGACTTCAGTGTCCGAAGGTGTCCAACTATTTTTGAGGCTGCTGAATATGGAATCAGTTTTTGTGGATGAGTTTAGTTAGACTCAAAACATCAAGCTGAACTCGACGCTATAGCGAATGTGCATTCACTCAATGAAAATCCAGATTTGGACATTCATAGATCTCATTTCTCATGGTAACCAACGCAGATGGTACCATTTGGTAACTAATGAGCAACACATATGTTACTATGAATATATATATATATATATATATATAGCACATTCATAAATGTGACCCTGGAGCACGAAACCAGGTTTAAGTCGCTGGGGTATATTTGTAGCAATAGCCAAAAATACATT